AGACTTAATATTGTTAAGATGGCAATACTCTTCACATTGATCTCCAAATCCAATGCAATCCACATTAAAATCGCATGGGTTTTTTGCAGGGATTGACAAACTGGTCCTAAAGTTCCCATGGAAATCCATGGGACCCAAAATAGCCAAGATAATCTCGTAAAATAGTGAAATTGGAAGACTCATTTTTTTTTTTTTGATTTCAGAATTTACTACAAAACAGCAGTAATCAAGACTGTTTGGTACCAGCATAAAGGTACACATTATAGGGCCTGGGGACGGTGGCTCATGCCTGTAATCCCAGCACTTTGGGAGGCCAAGGTGGGAGGATCACTTGAGCCCAGGATGTTGAGGAACAGCCTGGTCAACATAGTGAGACCTCATCTCTACAAAATATATTTTAAAATTAGGTAGGTATGTTGGTGTGGGCCTGTAATCCCAGCTGTTTGGGAGGATCACTTGTGCCTGGGAGTTAGAGGCTGCAGTGAGCTATGATTTCATCACTGCCCTCCAGCCTGGGTGACCGAGTAAATTTTAAGTGACTTTGGGTTGGGCAACTATTTCTTAGATATGACACCTGAAGCAGAAAACAGAAGACAAATTAGATAAACCAGATTATCTCATTAATTAGATAAATTAGGTACAATAGAGTTGCAAATTTTGCAGATCAAAGCATGCCATAAAGAAAGTACAACCCACAGAATGGGAGAAAATATCCGCAAATCATATGACTGATAAGAGATTAGCATCTAGAATACATAAATAATTCTTACAACCCAGTAATGAAAGACAACCCTTAAAAATGGGCAATGGATTTGAATAGACATTTCTCCAAAGAGGACACACAAATGACTGCTAAACACATGAAAGGATACTCAATAGCCTTAGTTATTAAGGAAAGGCAGATCAAAATTATAATCAAATACCTCCTCACACCAACTAGGATGGATATAATAAAAAAAACAACTGCAAGTGTTGGCAAGATTTGGATAAATTTAATCTTCATACATTGCTGGTGGGAATGTAAAATGGTGCAGCTGCTTTTGAAAACATTTTGGCAGTTCCTCAAAATGTGAAAAGGAGAGGTGCCATGTAACTCAGCATTTCCACTTCTAGGTATTCTCAAGAGAAATGAAAACACGCATCCACATAAAATCTTGTATAAAAATGTTCATAGCAGTATTGTTTATAATAGTCCAAAGATGGAGACAATCCAAGTGTCCATTAACTGAATGGGTAAATGAAATGTGATTTATCCATAGTAACCAAAATAGCATGGTATTGGTATAAAAAGACACATAGACCAATGGAACAGCATAGAAAACCCATAAATCATATATTTACAGCCAATTGGTTTTTGACAAAGGTGTCAAGAACATACATTGGGGAAAGGATATCCTCTTTAATAAAATGGTGCTGGGAAAATTGTATATCCAGATGCAGAAGAATGAAACTGGACTTCTATCTCTTACCATATACAAAAATGAAATCTAGATGGATTAGACTTAAGAACTGAAACTATAAAACTACTAGAAGAAAACATGGGGAGACACCTCAGGACATTGATCTATACAAATATTTTATGGCTAAGACCTCAAAAGCACGGGCAATGAAGATCAAAATAGACAAATGGGATTATATTAAGCTAAAAAGCCCCTTCACAGCAAAGGAAACAGTCAACAGAGTGAAGAGAGCCAGTTGAATGGGAGAAAATATTTGCAAACTATCTGATCAGGGAGGAATAGAATATGTAAGGATCACAAATAACAGTATAAAACAAAAACAAAAAACCAAATAATTCAAATAAATGGCAGGCAAATGACGTGAATAGACATTTCTCAAAAGGAGAACATACAAATGGCCAATAGGTATATGAAGAAATGCTCAACATCACTAATCATCAGGGAAATGCAAATCAAAACCACAGTAAGATACCATCTTACCCCAGTCAGAATGATTATTATTAAACAGAAAAAATAACAGAAGCTGGCAAAGATGTGGATAAAAGGGAACTCCTACATACTGGTGGTGGGAATGTAAATTAAAACAGCCATTTTGGAAAATAGGGAGATTTCTCAAAAATTAAAAATAGAACTACCATATGGTCTGGCAATCCCAATACTGGGCATTTATCCAAAGGAAAAGAGTTCAGTATGTTAAAAGAATACTTGTACTTCCATGTTTGTTGCAGCACTGTTCACAATAGCAAAGATATGGAATCAACCTACATTCCCATTGATGGATGGATAAAATAATGTGGTATATATACATAGTAGAATACTATTAGGCCATAAGAAAGAATGAAATCATATCATTTGCAGCAACATAGATGGAACTGGAGGTTAAGTGAAAGAAGCCTGGCACAGAAAGACAAATACCATGTGTTCTCATACATATGTGGGACCTAAAATTTTCATTTCATTGAGGTAAAGAATAGAATGATAGATAGGAGAAGCTGAGAATGGTGTGTGGGTGGGCTGGGGAGTGGGGCAGGATGAAGAGAGGTTGGTTAATGAGTATAAACATACAGTTAGATAAAAGGTATAAGTTATAATGTTTGATAGAGTAGGGTGACTATAGTTAACAATTTCAAAATAGCTAGAAGGCAGGATTTGAATTCTTCTCAACGCAGAAATGGCGAATACTTGAGGCAGTAGATACACCAAATACCCTGACATGATCATTACACATTCTTCGTATGTAAAAAAGTATCAACATGTACACCACAAGTATGAACAAATATGGTGTATCAATAAAAATAAGATCTATACAAATAATGGAATGTTATTCAGCTCTAAAGAAAAATAAGTATTGATACTGAAAAATAAGTATTGATAAAATATGGGTGATCCTTGAAAACATTATGCTGAGTGAAAGGAGACAGTCACAACACTCACTTATTGTATGATTCCATTTATATGAATTGCCCAGAATGGGAAAAATTTAATGAGACATAAAGTAGCTTAGTGGTTGCTTAGGGGCTAGGGGCATGGTGGTAGGATGCAGAATGACAGCTAGTATGAAAATGTTCTAAAATTAGATTGTGGTGATGCTTGCATAGCCCTGTTAATTTACTAAAAAACATTGAATTATGTACTTTAAGTTGATTACTTGTGTGGTATGTGAATTATATTTAAGTGAAGCTGTTCAAAAAGTGATAGGTTCATGGATTGAAGATTCCCAGTAGAACAAAGGATTGTTGGAATTGTAAGATTCATCTTTGTAGATATTGAAATCACTAGTGATTATGATATAAATATTGTTGGAAAGAGTGGCAGCCAAGAACCAATACTTTCAAAAAACAGGGAGAAATAATCTGCAGGAGAGTAAATTGCAATAAGAAGGGATATTTGTTAGTGTTATTGATGATGTAAGATGTAAAGGCGAATGCTTTCATGATGAAGAAAGATAAAATGTGAAGTAGAAATGAGGAACATGAAGATCATCTACTCCATATTCAAGGCTCAAGTACATGAGAAGTGGAAGAAAAAGCAGCTGCCACTTGATAGAGCCCACAGAAAAAGCAGGGTCATCAGGGTAGACTTTCTATGATAGATTTTTATATTGACCCTAAAATACTTTGAAATTCATAAGGTAACTTTCTGATTACTTTAAGCTTCTTACATGAAGTTTTTGTTCTGTTACTTTTGTCATGAATTATATGTGATGAAACTTGAGTCTGTTTTTCAATGGATTACTTGATCAAATTAGTGTTCTTGTTCTCCTATTTAATCTATTTCACATTCCTAATGTATAAGGCTGCATAATTGGTCAATTCTGATTTGTTGTTGTTTTGTGAGAGAATAAAGGATGTGAATACTTGCCAGGTTAGATTTCTAATTTACAGGAATCTTGTCACCCTAAAAGGTTGATGTGTCTCTCCAAAAATTTATAAAAGAGTTGTTGATTAATTGTAGTATAGTAATAACTGCTAGTATCCGTGGGAAAACAGAAAGAATTTGTTCTTTTTCTACCTTTTATTTATCCTTCCTGAGTCTTCTAACAAGCACAGATAGCCTCTTTTCTTCATTGTTCAATTCCATACCTTTTAAAAAAACATTTTTACTTGAAAAGGTTTCTTAATCAGAAACAATTGATTTCAGTATTATGAAATAGCCCTCTTATCTTTGAAAAATCAGTCTCCAAGAACAGCATAAAATTTGTTTTTAGCAAGATAATTTTATGTTGTTAATTATCTATAAAGGTCTCAAAAGTACTGAAGGATCACCTAGATCAATGAATCCAGAGATGTAAAATAATATACCTTAAGCAAAAATCATTCAGTAAATACTTCCATTTCTAAGTATTGAAATTCTAAGCAATTTCAGCTGCCCCCAAAGTAAGATTTATGAAAACTGTAGATGTTGCCATTTGTGCCACTGCTTTAAAGCTATTTAATCCTCTACTGCTATCAGCTGTGAAGTTGACTGTACTGTCAAAACAATGTGAAATCTTGGATTTTTTTATATATCATGCATAAAAATACAGAAGGAATAAATTTATTGCTATTATATTCCAAGCAGGGGAAATATTTAAAATGATCACACTGATACTATCATGACATTGACCATTCAGAAAAGATGCTGGTCCTTGGATCATAAGAGTACGACCTGACTGAATAACAGACCTGGTCCTAGACAGTTTAGTGTTTTGTACTCAAATTTATTTTCAGTCGTGTCTTCATGGTAGACATTGTTTTTTCCATTTTACAAATGAAAACCTTAAGACTTAAAGAGATAAGTAACTTATGCAAGATCACATAGCAACTTAGTAGAGCTGGGATTCAAATTAGTTTTATTTGGCTCTAAATTCTATGGCGTTTTCACTGTTCTGCTGCCTTGATAAACTTAAAACTCATCTGCTTTCTATCAAGAACTGAGTTCACAGTGATTTATCACTTATTTGGAAGAGTAGATCGTTGTGCTAATTTTGGAATTTCTCCCAAAATAAGCTGTGTTTCTATGAATACTTCTTAAACTTTTTTCTTTCTTATTCTATATCAGGACGTCTTGCATGGCTGGTATACTTAGTTGGGACAGTTGTTGGAGGAAGATTAACATATACCAGTACAGATGAGCATGATGCTATGGATGGAGAATTATCCTGTCGGTAAGTAAGAACTGTGTAATTTACTGAATTTTGCTAAATATTTAAAAAAATTAGTTATTGAACAAGTACTATGAGCGAAGACATTTTTGTATGTGGCCTTTGAGGAAGGTATTATTTCCCTTTTTATTGCTGAGAAAACCAAGACTCAAAGGTTTTGAGAGTCAAATCTCTAATAAGCGATAGACTCAAAATACTTTGTACATATTTGTGCAAATAATGTAATAAAGATTTAGGTTGCTTTTTATTACTTAGGATCTGAGCAATCACATCCAGTGTGTATTGGAAAGGTGGTAAAATTAGATGACTTGCATCTAGTCAGAAAGTACTAGGTAGTCAATTACCCATCGCAAGTTTTGTCACCTATTGGCCACAGCCTTAGGAAAAAGCAGTTGAATTATTCTCTTCAAGTTTCTATTCTAACCTGAGGAAAATTTCTATATATGAATAATACAAGCGAATTGATTTTCCATGTATTTTATTTTTAATAACAAATCTCCTTAGAGTCATACACGTTTTTATTGAAGACTTAAAAATTCAAATGAAAATAAAAATTATGTGTTAATCTGGAGATAACCACTACTGTTATTTTGTAAAGTCCCTTTGAGTCTTTTTAATTAATGTATATGGGTATATGTTTGCTGCATGTGTGTTTTTCAACTTTTCTTAAACATTACAAAACAATATAAGACATAGCTAATAATAATACCTAACTTATTTTGGGCTGTTACAAGGAATTTATTTTTTTAAATGCTTAGAACAGTGCTTGGCAATTAGTGATATATTACACACACACACACACACACACACACACACACACACACACACAGCAACACTACTTTTTAAAATCAAGCACAATATCAACATTTCACCTAGACATTAAATTTTCTAAGCTGTACAATAATTTAAATAGACCCTTGTTTTTGGAATTTTAGGTTGTTTCTCAATTTTTTCTTATTATAAATTACTTTTAGATATAACTAAATTATTTTTAGTTATATCTTTATATCGATTGAGATAATTTCATTAGAGTTCGTTCCTAAATGCAAACTAGCTGGTCAAAGGTTATGTAGCATTTGAAAGACTTTCAGTACTCATTACCACATGGTTTTCTGAAAAAGGACCAATGTATCCTCTGAACCAAGGGTTTCCAACCCTTGTACTGGTCCGTGGCCTGTTAGGAGCTGGGGTGCGTAGCAGGTGAGCTGCAGGTGAGCAAGGATTACCGCCTGAGCTCTGCCTCCTGTCAGATCAGCAAGGACATAGATTCTCATAGGAGCGTGAACCCTAAACTGCACGTGAGGGATCTAGGTTGCATGCTCCTTGTGGGAATCTAATGTCTAGTGATCTGAGGTGGAACAGTTTCATCCTGAGACCATCACCCCACACCACCCCAAACCCCATCCATGGAAACATTGTCTTCCAGGAAACTGGTCCCTGGTGCCGAAAAGGTTGGGGACCACTGTGCTGAACCCTAATTGTATGATAGTTAACATTTGTTAGTGGTTGAGCTGCCAGAGAGTAGGGTTCATATTGTTGCCAGTTTATAGGTAACAAAGGTATTGTTTCAATTTGTATTTATTTGGTTACTAGTGGTATCAAACATTCTTTTCCACTCCCAGCTTTGCCATTTTTTCTTTGTGACTTTTATATCTATATTGATTATATTATTTACCTTCTTTTCTTTCGTGATCTTTTCTAACTTACTTGTAAGAGCTCAGTGTGTGTGTGTGTGTATATATATATACACACATATATATGTCTCAGAGATGTTAATATTTTGCTCCTCATTTTGAAAATGTTTTCTCCGTATTTTTACTTCAGATATTTCTTCTTTACTGGCTTTAAATATTATGTATTCAGATCTGTGGACTTTTTCCTTCATATTTCTCTGCTGCTTATATTTAGAAAGATTTTTTTTTTCCACTTCTAGTTAATAAAAATATCCACCTGTATTTTCTCCCAGCTCTCTTTGGTATTATTAATAGCTTTTTATATTTATTTTTAATATATCTTGACATTTGGTTTCATATATTTTTTCCAAGATTTCCAGTTAATGCCAATCCTACCCTCTACTGATTTGAAGTGCCACTTATATCTTACACAAAATTATTACATCTTTTTTTCAGACCTTTCGTACTTTCCCATTGGTCTTAGAAGTATATTGTTATATATTTTTACCCTATTAAAGACCTTAAAATTGTTTCACCTAGTTGTGATATTCTCCTTCATTATTCTTCTTAAATATATTTCTAAGTGCTTAGTAAATCTGTTGTACTTTTGGATAAAAAATTTCATTTTGTTCCATTTCCTTTCAACCTTTAAACTATTTCTTCAATAAAATGTGAATCTTCATGGATCATGAATATTTTTAGTTTTTCTGAGATTTATTATTTTCTGTATCAAATTAAATTACTTGAAAATATGAATAATAGGTGTTTGGGGCTTCCTTAAAATGCTTTAGTTAATTTTCAACCAAGCAAAAAATTTGCTTCTGCACCATCTTTTAAGACAACATTACATATTTAATAAAGTGGAAATTAGGCATACTTTTTGCTATAGTTTGATTTTTTTTTTTTTTGAGACAGAATTTTGCTCTTGTTGCCCAGGCTGGAGTGCAATGGCACGATCTTGGCTCACCGCAAACTCCACCTCCTGAGTTCAAGTGATTCTCCTGCTTCAGTCTCCCAAGTAGCTGGAATTACAGGCATATGCCACCTTGCCTGGCCAATTTTGTATTTTTAGTAGAGATGGGGTTTCTCCACGTTGATCAGGCTGGCCTCCAACTCTGCCTGCCTTGCCGATCTGCCTAGCAGGTGATCTGCCTGCCTTGGCCTCCCAAAGTGCTGGGATTACAGGTGTGAGCCACCGTGCCCAGCTGATTTTTTTTTAAAGTTTAATCATCAAGTAGGGAAATACATGGCTGGACGCGGTATACATGGCGGATCTCGTGAGATCTCGATCACGAGATCGAGACCATCCTGGCTAACACGGTGAAACCCCGTCTCTACTAAAAATACAAAAATTAGCCAGACATAGTGGCGGGAGCCTGTAATCCCAGCTACTTGGGAGGGAGGCTGAGGCAGGAGAATGGCATGAACCCCGGAGGCGGAGCTTGCAGTTAGTTGGGATCGTGCCACTGTACTTCAGCCTGGGCGACAGAGTAAGACTCTGTCTCAAAACACACACACACACACACACACACACACACACGCACACACACACACTGCCACTATCTCGTGAGAAAATGTATATTAGGAAATAAAGTAGGTGTATATTTGCCAATGAGAAAAAAATATTAGTTTTTTATTTAAGCAGCAAACATACTGAACATTTTGAACTAAGATTTGTGTTTTAGCCTGCATTCTCTGGAAAACAGAGCCTTTGGTGAAGTTCATGGGCTAATATTTTTCTGGAGTTAGGGAGAAGAGTACATTTTTAGAGAAGAAAGAAGAGGAGGAAAGGGAAAGTAAGTGAGACAATAAGAGAAAACAAATACAGTCAATCCTCATTATACCTGGGTTCCATTTTTTGTGAATTTGCCTACTTGATAAAATGTGTTTCTAACCCCAAAATCAGTCCTCATGGTGCTTTTGTGGTCACTTGCAGACATGTGCATAGGGATGAAGAAATTTGAGTTTTGTGTTGCACTTTCCCAACTGAGGTTGAACAGGTGATATTCTGCCTTGTTTCAGCTCTTGTACTGCAAAGAATTGTCCTTTTTATATTCTGTTTAGAGCCACATTTGTCATACTTTTGTGCTTTTTGTTGGTGCTTTCAGTGTTTAAAATAGCCCAGCTGTATTGTTAAAGTGCTGTTTAGTGTTCCTAAATACAAAAGGCTATCATGTGCCATACATGGGTTAGATTCTCTGTCTGGGCACCAGTGGGAGTACTGTGAATACTGCAGTAGTGTGTAAGTTCAGTGTTAACAAGTCAACAGTATATTTGAAAAAGCCTCTCTAAACAGAAACACACATGAAACAAGATTGTAATCCATTGACCAAAATGTCGTCACCAGAGGCTTGCAGGAACCTAATTCTGTATTTTACCTAGGAGCAATGGTTCATTATTCACTGACTCAGTGTTCACAGTGACTTTATAGAACATAACTACCATAAATAATGAGAACCAACTATGTAAGGTGGTGTATTACTGAGAAAATACAACTGGTTGCTTGCTTTTATAGGAATTTTCCCCAGAGGCCACATGAAACCACTTGTGCCTCAGAACAACTCGTGGTTGGGGGAGTAAGGACAAGCAGTGTATATCCGTTGGCTTCTTTCTGTGTCTCGTTTCTTACTGGTTAATGTCTACTCCTGGGGGATTTAACTTTTCCACACTTCTTAGTTGTGTTTCCTGGCCTCTTTGAGGGGCTGCTGGGGAGACAGAGCTTTAATTGGTCCTGTTGGAGCTATGAACAGGAATGGTGGTTTGTCTCTCCTTTCTGGGAAGATTTGTAACTGCAGAAACTGTGTGAATCTTTTCTGGGGCTACAAGACAAGTGGCTGAAGCCAGGGATGAGGTGAGAGATGATAGTGTGGTTGGTGGGTGTGCAAGCAGGGCCAAGCAATTCAAGGTGGGGCGTATTCTAGGACTTACCCAACAGTCTGGAAATAAATAGGCATTTTAGAATATTGAGATTCTAAATTAAGAATGATGTCTTATGTAAAATTACAAAAAAATCACTTTCATATGAAGATGTTCCAAATAATTGGAACTACAAGTACTGTGGCCTTCTATATGTTGTATATGATAGCATTGCTACTCCTCGGAGAACACTACCAAATTAGGAGATCATGAAGCTCCTGCCAAAACTTATGTGCTATTTTGGCATGAAAGTTTGAGTCATAAAAGCTCCTAACATTGTGAGGATTTATAATTATGATTGAAACATACTACTTTAAACATAGCAAATAAATGTAATTATACTCAGGCCACGTAATTCTAATTAAATAAAGACATTTTATAGTAATTTTAGTTTCATTCATCATGACTAAAAGG